TCCGGGGCTGATTCCCTGGGGAAGCGCTGCTCTCTCTGGGGGTGATTGCTGACCAATAAAGCAAGCCTAACCGAGGCACCGGTTTCCATCCCCTCCTGGCCAGTCTCTCCCCCTATCTGAGCCCATTCCCAAGTGTGCCCCAAGGTTCTGCTCCAGAATCCCAGCATTAACGAAGGTATTTTAGCACATCCCGTAATATCCTGGAACAGAAAGTCTTGTTCGTTTGCATCTATCTCACACCTACACTTACACACACACACACCATGGACACTATGCATTCTGTTGATACCGCACACTACACACATCACAGACACAGTTCACGTAGCACAAATATTACATTCATCACACACATACATTGCTCACACACACATTACACACACCATTGTTGCTACACACACATGCCATACACACACTACACATCATTGTTATTAGCAGAAAAGAGGATAATGTCAGTTTGTTGAAGGGAATGAGGAGGAAGTGGGTGAGCACTCGTACCTATACTTATACCCGCAAATGTCAGTTTACGCCAAAGGTAGAAACTAGCTGGTGTCAGAATTTAGAACGCCTTTGTGGCTCATTTTATATTAAATGGGATTGATTTCCTACACCTTGGTAAACCCTTTCCCTTGTCTAACAAGCAAACTTTTGATCACAGTAGGCAAGACAGGTGGGGGGCAGAGCAGGAGTGGGGGAGGATGTCCTTTTCTATAAGTAGAAAAATCTTGGAGAATCTTCACAGAACCCTTCTTCCTGAGATTGTGTCTAAGGAAGAGTTGGGTGTAACTTCATTTTCTTTGCCTCTCCTGTAAGAGTAGAGAGCTGAACCTGAGTTTGTTCTGAGTAGTGGCAGGATAATACTGTCAGGACACCCAGGACTCATCGACCAGCCCTCTTCCATTTGAGTTTTGTTGGGAGGACAGTTGAGGAATTTCAATGCCAAAAGCTCTGTAACAACAACAACAAAAAACAAAAAACAAAACAAAAAAAGTGCTCTTTAACATCTGGTAGTGAACGAGTTGTCTAACTCAGAAGAGTTCATCATTTTGATCAGCTGTAATAAAAGGACCTACCCATTTGACTCACACTCAATAAATGGTGCTCAGAATATATATATATATATATATATATATATATATGCACACTTAGAATTCATCCCTAAATTGTTGTTTGCTTTTTCAAAGGGCAGTGGCAAAAATGGTTTGAGAGACTAGCTTCCTTGGCAATGATTGGTAAAGAAAATTTCTAATATCATTCCTAGAATAAGTAGAAAGAGAAAAATTTCACTTTAAATGTCAGGTTCCAAATGTAGATCATAATTCCCTTAAAATTACTAAGGAAAAGGGTGAGCCACAGATTTCCTCTTAATTCTGCCTGGAATCCATTCAGTATTACAGCAGCAGTTGACTTCTTGGGAACTTGTATTCTCTGCCCTATCTTGAGTGGTTTTGTTTACATCTTGGCCTAAAAATTTCAATATTGTTTATTTCAGTGACAACTATGTGTTTCATGTCCGGTCCGCAGCATGCTTGTGGAATGGGGATGTTTATCTCTAGGACGGGTTTCCCAAAGCAAGCAAGAGAACTGGATAACTTCATCAAAAGGCCATGCCCAGTCACTACCCCACTTCCTAGTTTCCTGATTGGGATTTAGGACGGTAGGAGATACTATGAATTTGGGGGGTTGACACTATTTTCTCTTTCCTATGTAACTAATAGAGTATCAGGTGCTCATCCTATATAATGAAGATGTAATATGCAAATGGTCGTTACAAGAAGCCTAAAGACTGGATCATGGATCAGCAGGAGGGTGGGGGCAGCGAGCTACAAGCAGGCAGCGAGCTATGAGAGGTGGGTAGGGGGTAAGGGGGAGTTCCAGCGAGCTACTGGAACACAGATTTGTGGGCAGGGCTACTAGTAGATAATAAGGGTTAATTGAATGTATGGAATTACACATTTTGTGCAACTCCGATAAACAGTTCAAATTAAACCTCCCAGGCACTGGCTGATATGGCTCTCTTGGCTGAAGCATCCTTTATACCAAAAGGTTGCAGGTTGTATTTCTGGTCAGGGGACATACCTAGGTTGTGGGTCCCATCCCCAGTTGGGGCGCATATCGGAGGCAAACAATTGATGTTGTTTCTCACATTGATGTTTCTCTCTTCCCCCCTTCCTCCCCCTCTCTCTTTCCTTCTCTTCCCCTCTCTCTAAAATCAATAAACATATCCTTAGGTGAGGATTTAAAACCAATTAAATCTCCCGGAACGAATTGTTTTGTTGGAGAATAAGGTTTGTTTCATTTGGAGTTTTTGCTGATTTCGTCTGGTAGGAAGAGTCCTTCAATGAAAGAATGTGGGCGTTCTCTGAAGGTCTGGTCATCTACTTTGCATCCTCTGATGATACATGTTACTTCCTGCATAATGTAGTCACAGGATTTTCTCCTGGGCATTGCTTTCCTTGTCCTCCAAACGATTACTTAAAAGCCAGTCCTGGGAACTTTGTCTACAGTGTCTATTAGGAAGAGAGGGTAACTCAGCGCTTCTACATGTTCACTGGTTATAGCAGAGCCTAAGCACCAGGTTCTTTCTTTTTAATGTCTTTTCTCTTTTTCTCTCTCTCTATCACGGGGGAAAGAGTTTGAAACAGGACATTGATGTTCAGAACAACATCACACACTTGATCATGCAGCACCAATGAAGGGGAGGGAGGAAAAAAGCCATTGAGAGGGCTTGGTTTCCACCAGGTGCAGGGCGAGGCTGCGGGGCTGGGAGGCGCGCCCTCAGCCGGGCTGGGGGCGGGGCGGGCTGGGGGCGGGGCGGGGCGGGAGCGCGGCCGCGCGGGGAGGGCGCTGTCGCTTTAAAAAGGCCGCCATGAGCCGCGGGCAGTTGGTGCGGCTCGGGTGCGAGTCCCCACGTCACGCTGGCGGCGCGCCAGCCGGTGCCGCTCCGCGGTGTCCAGTGGTCCCTCCTTGTTGAATTCCTTTGCCGCCTACTTTGTGAAAGAAAACATTGGGTTTTCTTTGGCCGTTCTTGATAAGCCTATAAAAAAATGACATGTCTTAGTTGCTTCTAGGTAGGTTTTTCTTTTTTACTCTTACACACACACACACACACGAAAGGAAAATATTAATGAGACAGCAGTGTAGTGGGTGTTAGAGTACCACTGTGTTTTGTTTTGTGTTTGCTGAGATGCTTAGAAAATGGTGCCTGTGCTCACAGTTTCCAAGTGCAGCCTCCGCGGTGCGGGGTCCGAGCTGGTCCTCTGGGCGCGATGCTGGCTTTCCCTGGGAACGGTCAGCGAGGGGAAGTGAGTGTGTGTGTGTGTGTGTGTGTGTGAGAGTGTGAGTGTGTATGTGTGAGTGTGTGAGTGTGTGTGAGAGTGTGTGAGTGTGTGTATGAGTGTGTGTGAGAGTGTGTGTGTGTGAGTGTGTGTGAGAGTGTGTGTGTGAGTGTGTGTGAGAGTGTGTGAGTGTGTGTGAGAGTGTGTGAGTGTGTGTGTGAGGATGTGTGTGTGAGTGTGTGTGAGAGTGTGTGTGTGTGTGTGAGTGTGTATGAGAGTGTGTGAGTGTGTGTGAGAGTGTGTGTGAGTGTGTGTGTGAGGATGTGTGTGTGAGTGTGTATGAGAGTGTGTGTGTGTGTGTGTGAGTGTGTGTGTGTGTATGAGAGTGTGTGAGAGTGTGTGTGTGAATGTGTATGAGAGTGTGTGAGAGTGTGTGTGTGTGTGAGTGTGTGTGTATGAGAGTGTGTGAGAGTGTACGTGAGTGTGTGTGTGTGTGTGAGTGAGTGTGTGTGTGAGAGAGAGTGTGTGTGTGAGTGTGTGTGTGTGAGAGAGGGTGTGTGTGTGAGTGTGTGTGTGTGTGTGAGAGAGGGTGTGTGTATGTGTGTGTGTGAGAGAGAGAGAGTGTGTGTGTGAGTGTGTGTGTGTGAGAGAGGGTGTGTGTGTGAGTGTGTGTGTGTGAGAGAGGGTGTGTGTGTGAGTATTGGTAAAGCATCCACTTCTCTAACTGGGGGCCGCCCGTGGACGCAGTAAAGGATGCACTTGCCATGCCCGAGGAGGAGTGCGGGAGAGTAAGCGATGGGAGAGGAATGTATTTAATTTGTGGCTTCAGCTGCAGGAGAGCAAGCTCGTTTCAGAACTAGTTGGTGTTTGTTTTTAAAGCAGTTTTGTTCATAGCTTTTTCATCTTGCTAATTGCATATTAGTTGCGGAGGGTTTTGTGTTGTTGTTGTTGTTGTTTCACAGTCCTTGTCCTACTAAACAAAAAGACAAAGTGATGGATGCTTTTCTGTCTCCTTGAATGCTTTGGTGATTTTTTTAAAAACATAAATCTGATGAGCTGCCTTCCCTCTCTTTCACACACGCACACACCAGCACCACCTTTCTGTGACATGTTTGTGAGCTCCCAGCATGGCCATCTCACAGGGTTTTGAGGCTTTCATTGAGAGTATTGTGAAGTAGGGGGATGCTTGCTGACAAAAGCTTTAAGTGCTCTTTGGCATTGCTATGGAAAAAAAAAAATACAGAAAGAGTGGGAGCAAACAAAACAAATACAATAAGAAAAAACAAAGTGCAGCCCAGGGTGGGAAGGGGCAGGAAAAGGGGGATTGTTTTTTTGGGTGTTTTTTTTCTGACTTGGACTCATTTGTGAGTTGCAATGTTTTAAGTGGGAGCTTGCACCCAGAGGAAGCTGTGCCAATTGACACAGAACTTGTTTTGAACAAGGATTCAATTTCATTTGCAAATGCTTATTGTCAAGGCAGGGAGTGCCAGCACAGAGGAAAGCACCCCTATCCGCCTCCTACAGTTCTTTAGGTTTAATCACATCTCTCCAATCGCCGAGGGAACTGGAGATTCAAACAAACATACGTGAACTGGTGTGAAGCTGTAAAGGAAGCACTGTTTCCGGTTCAGAATATATATTCTTCTCTCACTTTCTAAGAATTAAACACAAGCTTTTCTCCCTTATTGATTAGTTGCTGAAGTAAAGGAAACCTGCAGCCTTCCCATGCTCTCTGTTGACATGGAAAACAAGAAAAATGGCTCTGTCGGTGTAAAAAAGTAAGTGAAACTGGCTTGTGAGTTCTGCTTCTGCAAACAGCAGAGGGGCTTGGTTTCTATTTTTATCCTCTTACTTATCTACTACAAGACAGGCTGGGGGCTTGTACTTGGTTGATCTACACTGGCCACCAGCCTCCCTTCTCCCCCTTACAAAAGTTGTCTTTTTCCATATTCCATTTCTGAGACAGGTGACCCAGACATCAAACTGTGCAGAAAGGGTGAGTGGTTCAGGCTTTGGAACAGCTACGGTTGAGGATTTCAGCCCTGCGTTCTGTGTATGGAAACAAAAACATCGAGCAAGCATGCTCTGCCTTCCAAGTCCATAGGCTACAATGGTGGGGGCAGAAAATGAATTCAAGTCTTTTAATTGCATTTTTAAATTTATTTCCATGTCTTTTTAAATAAAATTACCTCTCTCCAAACTGAGAAGTATAATGAGGGAAGGACAAAAGCTTCAGCGAGAATACTGAGTTTTAACAACTTTCCTAATTTTATAAACTTTTCTCTGGATGTGAAAGATTTCAGTGTATACCATAGCATTCTATTTTAAGATCTGTTCTCACATTTGAAACCTTGATTACATATTCTGTGAGTTATATGCTTGATTCTTTTTTCTTTAAATAGGAAAATTCAGTTGCATTATGTAGCATATGCTGAAACAAAACAAAAGTAAACTCACAAAGATAGCTGTGAGTATATGAAAAAACTGTATATTCTCACTTAGGAATTATATTAAAGCTATAAACAATTCAATTACAAAGGTAAAGTAAGTTCCAGAACAGTGTTATTTGTTTCATTTCTTTCCATGTAATTTAGTTTAAAATTGCCTTCATCTTGAGCTTTGGAGGGAACTAATTAAATGTAGTCCATAGAAGCTGTAATATCTAAATGAGGAAACTCTGTGCTATGTGTGTTTATGAATTAAGTTAAAGTTACTTTAACTTAATAAAAATGCTTCCTAAAATTCTCAGGTAATTCACTTGTCAGTGCCCTGCTGCCATGCTCACTCTCATTCTTGAAGTTTGGGGTAGTTAGATGTAGAGTGAATGAAAGAAACAGGTGTTTTTTAATGTATGTGTTAGGTCAGTGCTGTCCAATTCTACTTTGAGCATTGATGGCAAAGTTCTGTTCTGTGAAGTCCATAATGGTAGCCACGAGCCTCCTTTGGCTATTAAAAACTTTAAATGTTACTAGGGTAATTGATGAATGGAACTTTTAATTTTATTTCATCTTAATCAATTAAAAAAGTTAGCTGCTTTATTGAAATGTAATTGACATGTAATACATTATATATCTTTAAAGAACAAAATTTGTTAGGCGTTGATATTCGCATATACTCATGAAACCATTACAATTAAAATAATGAATGTACCCATCACCCCCAAAGTTTTCTCATGACCCTTTGTATTCTCTACCCCAAAACCCACCATCCTTTCCTGCTCTGTATCCTCGGGCAAGCACTGATATGATGAGTTTATTTTTTCTATAATTTTGTGCAAATGACATTTTTCAGAATGTACTTTTTTTTTTTTTTTTTTTTTTTTACTTTTTTTTCCCCCACAGCAGAGGTGCGGCTCTAGTTTCTTTCACCCAGGATGATTTATTTGCAATTCATTCATGTTATAGTGTGTAGCAATAGTTCATTACTTTTTATTGCTGGTAATATTTCATTGTATAGATACATAATCATTTGTTCACTGTTTATCCTTCCACCTGTTGGTAGACATTTGGGTTGTTTCCATTTTTTAGAGATATTAGAAATCAAGCTGATCAGACCATTTGTGTACAGGTCTATATGTGGACATTTGCTTTTATTTCTCCTGGATAAATATTTAGGAATTGAATGGCTGGGCTGTATGGTAGGTGTATATTTAACATTTTAAGAAACTGCCAAACTTATATTCCAAACTGGTTGTGCTATTTTATGTCCCCATCAGCAGCATGTGAGTATTCCAGTCTATATCCTCACAAACATGATTAGAAAATAGTTTTTTGTATCTGATTTTTATTTTCGTTCTTTCTTTAGTGTCCTTCAAAGTGCAGAAGATTTTCATTTTGATGAAGTCCAGTTTATCAAGTTTTTACTTTATAGATAGTGTGTTTAGTGTCATATCTAAGAAGTATTTACCTAACCCAAGGTCAGGAAGATTTTCTGTTATGATTTCTTAGACTGAGGACTATGATTTTTTTGTTGTTAATGTTTGTATATGGTGTGAGATAGGAATAAAAGTAATTCTGTAGATGGTGGTGGTTGATCTTTTACCTGTGGATATCCCATTGTTCCAGCAATTGTTAAATTGTTTCTGCAATTTTGTTGAAAAATTAATTGATCATATATGTGTGGATCTTTCTGGACTCTGTTTTACAATCTATAATAATTTTGTAGATATTTATGCCAATACAACACCATTTTGATAACTATCCTATATAATAAGAGCCTAATATGCTAAGTGTCCTGTTGTCCAGTCATCCGTTCAACCAATGTTAATATGTTAATGATGTCCTAAGGCCACTCAACAGCTTGCTGTGATGTGCACTGACCACCAGGGGGCAGACAGTTGACCAGTTGACCAGTTGCTATGACGTGCACTGACCACAAGGGGGCAGATGCTTTGACCAGTAGGTTAGCTTGCTGCTGGGGTCTGGCCGATGGGAACTGAGCCAGTCAGGCCAGACATGCCCTGGAGCCCTTCCCGTGGTCCCTCCCCAGCTGACCAGTCTCCTGCATCCCTCCCCAAACCCAGTCATTCACTGTTGGGGTCCCTCAGCTTGACCTGCACCCTCTCACAATCCAGGACCTCTCGAGGGATGTCAGAGAGCCAGTTTTGGCCCGATCTGAAAGGCCAGGCCAAGGAACCCCACTGGTGCATGAATTCATGACCAGGCCTCTAGAACTTTATAATATGTCTCAAAATCAATTTGTGTTATCTACCCAACTTTATTCTTCTTTTTCAAACTTGTTTTGGCTCCCCTAGGTCCTTCACATTTTCATATGAACTTTAGAATCAGCTGGTCAATTTCTATTTAAAAAATGCCTCCTGGTGATTTGATTGGCATCGCATTGAATTATAGGTCAAATGAGGGAGAATTGACATCTTAACAATATTGTGTTTCTCAACCCATTTTTCTCCACTTACTTAGGTCTTCTTTAATTCTCTCAGCTATGTTTTCTTGTTTTCAGTGTGCAGATTTTGCACAACTCTTCTCATATATTTTACTACGTATTTCATATTTTTATTCTATGGTAAATTGTATTGCTTTTTAAATTTAAATTTTATATTATTTATTGCTATCTAGAAATGCAATTGATTCTTTTATATATACCTGTATCCCACAACGTTGTTAAACTCACTTATTACTTTTGGTATTTAACATAGACAATTATGTCTTCTGAAAAAAGACAGTTTTATTGTTTCCTTCCCAATGTGGATACTTTTTTTTTTTCCCTACCTTATTGCACTGAATAGGACCTCCAATAAAACGTTGAATGGAAGTAGTGAGATTAGACATCCTACTTTATTCCTGATCTTCAGAGAAAACATTTAATCTTTTTAAAAAATCTTTCTTTTTCTCTATGTCTTTTTTTGTCTGCTTTTACTTTTACTCTTTATCACTGATTTCTAAGCAATTTGATTATGAGACTTGGTGTTTCTTGTGCTTAAAAATCTGTTTTATCTGTAGGCTTAGTTTTTATCAAATTTGGAAAATTTTCAAACATTTTTCAATTTTTATTTTGGTTTCCCCCCACATCTCCTTTGGGGACTTCAATTATAGGTATATATGATCACTCAATGTTGTCCCACAATTCACTAATGTCAATTAAATTTTTTGTCTTCTATCTTTTTGTTTCATTTTCTATAGTTTCTATTGCTTTGCCTTCAAGTTCACTAATGCATTTTTTCTGAACTGACTAATCTCTTGTTAATCCCACCTAATATATTTTTCACTTCAGACAATGTGGTTTCCAACTCTAGAGTTCAACTTGAATCTTTTTTCATATCTTTCATCTCTCTATCATATTCAGTCTTCACTTTAGCTTCTGAACAAATGAATGTACTCATAATAAATGTTTCAATCTACCTGTCTACGGATTCTGTCATTTCTCACTCAGTTTCAGTTGATTGCTTTTCTTTCTTTCTTTTTTTTTTTAAGATATTTTATTGATTTTGTACATAGAGGAAGGGAGAGAGATAGAGAGTTAGAAACATCGATGAGAGAGAGTCATCGATCAGCTGCCTCTTGCACACCCCCTACTGGGGATCTGCCCTCAGCCAAGGTACATGCCCTTGACCGAAATCGAACCCGGGACCCTTCAGTCCCCAAGCCGACGCTCTATCCATTGAGCCAAACCGGTCCCAGCTCAGTTGATTGCTTTTCTTTCTCTTTATGGATTTTTCTCTCTGCTTCTTTGCATGCGTGGTAATTTTTGTTATTAAAACTATACTAAATTATAGTTGCCATCAATAGTGTATTAGTTTCTGCCCAGCTGGTGTGGCTCAGTGGGTAAGCATTGACCTACAAACCAGGAGGTCATGGTTCGATTGATTCTCACATGCTTGGGTTGTAGGCTCCATCCCCAGTGTGCGGTGTGTAGGAGGCAGCCTATCAACAATTCTCTCATCGTTGATGTTTCTGTCCCACTTTCCCTCTTCTTTCTTCTCTGAAACCAATAAAAATATATTTAAAAATAGTGTATTAGTTTCAGGTGTACAACATAATTATTCAGCATTTGTATACCCTACAGTACAACCACCACACTAAGTCTAGTAACTATCTGTCACCAAACTAAATTATTACAATATTATTTTTTAATTTAAAAAAAATATATTTTATTGACTTTTTACAGAGAGGAAGGGGTGGGGGATAGAGAGGTAGAAACGTCGATGAGAGAGAAACATCGACCAGCTGCCTCTTGCACACCCCCTACTGGTGTCCGCAACCAAGGTACATGCCCTTGACTGGAATCGAACCCGGGACCTTTCAGACCGACGCTCTACCAC